CCAAAATTTTTCCAACCATAGACCTTGAAAGGCCAAACTGTTCGGCAACTTGTTTGGTTGACTGGGTCGGTTCCTGTTCAATGCTTGCACAAATCAAAGTGTCCTGTAATTCGCGCTCTTCATTCACAGGCCTTGCTTGCGGTTCCCTATTATGGGTACATTTATTGACACTGCCATATGTAACAAAATTATTTACAACATTTTGAATTGTTGCTCTGGCTGGTAAGGGCCTATTAGGAAACATATTGGGAAATATTCGTTGAATTTGTCGATCTGACATCCCACTTATATGCCATGTTACGAATTGAATTTTTTCTTCAAGAGTGTAGACCATTTTAATTTGAGAACATTTGAAAATTTACCACAAAAATACCACCACTCAGTTTCAACACATTCCCTGGTCTGACGCCGCTACAAGTTGTCTGCCCAAGGCAGAGTGCCCCACCACTCCTGGAGTGGTGGGGCACTCCACACTTTACACGTCTTATCTAGGGTTGGGACAGTTGAAATTTTCAAATGAAAATTTCAATTTTGAAAGTTTCAAACTTGAAATATTTCACTGAGTTGGAAAAGTGAAATTTTTGAAAATTTCAAATGAAATTTTCAATCCGAAAATTTCAACATTGCCTGTGAAAGTTTCAGAAATTTCATTGAAAGTTTCGCAATTTACTGAAAATTTTGCATAAATTTCACATGCGGCCTCCCCTGGGACCTTTAATAATAATTTACAACAGATTCCGAATCGACCAATAAGAATGAGTTATCAAGCGTCTGGGCGTTTTTGTTTAGTTCGGCTTGGATTTGAATACACTATAAGTAATTATTGTTACTTATATGCATAAATTAATTTAAGTAATTTAATTCAGTTACCAATTTAATTTGTAAATTAAATCAGACTTTAAATTTTTTTTAAAAGTAATGATTAATTTAAACCTTTACTTTTGCTATAATTGCATCGGAAAACGGATAAAAAATGCCTTTGGCTCATAAAATTTTGATGAAGTTTCTTCAATTTTCGAAAAATTTCAGTAAAATATTTAAAAATAATAAATATATATAAATATAAAACAATGAAAGTGGCACAATCTCATTAGCTTACCAAAAAGTGCTATATCTCTTTTAGTTTTAGTAATTTTAAAAATATTTTAAAAGGAAATCTCAAGAAATGTGGTAAACATAGGTATTTACTATTTATATTATTGGTGCAGGGGCCCACAGAGGGGTAGGAGCCTCCTACTAGGAGGTAAAAGAGGCAATTTGCCATGGTCCCCGAGTGGGCTTATTTCAATATTAATATATTACAATTAAAGTGATTGAAATTTATTGAAAGTTTCAATAAATTTCATAAATTTCATGAAATTTCAGAAATTTAGGAAATTTTAATAAATTTCATAAATTTCATGAAAATTTCAAGTGAAATTTCAAGTACAAGCAAAAAGTGAAATTTTCCCAACCCTAATGGCATCTCTATTGTTAGCGTCTTTGTCTACAAAGGGGAATACGCGTACATTACCACCACTGTATATACATTTTCCGGCTATATTCTTAAAAAACTCGTTTGTAACATAAGCGTTTGACAGCTGATTATTAAAAGTTGTACTTTTGTTACGATGATAACAGCCGAGTGGTGGCGCTACTAGCGTATAGCATTTTATTTAACAAAATTTAATAAATTTGAGATTTTGATTTTTCAATGTAGAAAATATTTTTTATGTGTTACAAGTCGCCTAGTACTGAATAAGGCTCTTTTGTTTGTTAAAACCAAAATTAAAAATGAAAATATGTCAGATAAAAGTGAAAAATATATTGCAAACAAAATCAAGCAATTTTCAACAAACTTGCTTTTGAGGTGGAAAAAATGCCATCAAAATATAAATCGCTTCTTAGATAAATATTCTTCATGGTTGGAAAAAGACTTGTTAGAAAATTTGACCGATATATCAAATTCGAGTGAGTTAAAATACAGAAAAGGTAGTCCGAAAAAGACATGTGCAAATAGTAATTTAACCATGAAAAAAAGAAAAATTAGTTCTTTAGCAAAATCTCAAACTCCAGAAAACCTTACTTGGCTACAAAGGTGAGTTACAAGACCTCATTAAGGCGAAGTGTTGCGTAGTTAATAAATAAAGTAACAAATAGTTGTCCCGAAACTTGAAAATGGCTCTTCAACCATCCGATACGAGTAAGCTAATATCTAGTTACTCAACAGATGAAGCACTGGCTTTGATCGGTGCAAAAGGGTGCAAATAAAAGAAATGTCAATCTCTATCCCCTGTATTATTTGGTGCTTTAATTCAAAGTAAGTGTTATCCCAATGAGATAGTCATCTTGGAAAATTCAGCCGAAATTAGGTTGCAAAAATTATTAGATCATACACAGAGAAAAAGCTTTTATATTGTGAATGGGTTAACCATTAAGCCAATGGTATACTGTCTTTGCAATACCTCAATTAGAGCTATGATCAAATGAATGATTGTCTTACTTTTATTTGTGCAAACCTGCTTAAAATTAGTTCAAACTGTTACGTACACATTTAGTTTGTTTACTTAAATAATTAGTAAAGTTGCCCATGTCCAAGGTCGTTGGCGTAAGAGATGGCCAAGTTTTAACTTTTCTTGCTGCTACTCCTACTCCAGCCAATCACATTGCAGACATTTATGAAGACATTTTATTTTATTATTATATTGGTAACACTGGCTTACTGCTACTGCTACTGCTACTCCTACTTTTAAGAACTATAAATCCGGCTTTATGCACAAATGTGATATTACAACTGCAACAAATTTGTCGCGTAGTGTAACCTAGGTTATTTTTCAATAATAAGTCAACATTTTTTTTTTTTGATTATAACAAATAACTGAAAAAATTAATTTTAAATTATATTTTGAAAATAAGAAGTTAAAATTTGTCAATAATATTAAAGTTATGATGATTTAATCCTTAACCACCCCCCTAATTCAAAAAAAACTTTTTCTTACAGTCTTGTGAGATAGTGAATGGCAATATTTTTTTCTGTAATATAACGCGATTCCTATTGGTCGTGGAGCGGCCAAGTACAGTGGTGGAGTCTTTCCAACTTTTACTGTGACGAGTCTGAAATTCTTGGAATCAAAGTTATAAAAACACTGCGTTAATGGACGAGCCCCTCTAATACGTTTTTGTAAGAAATGGTGTGGATTTAAAGTCGCGGGGAGTAAGTAGGCACAAGATACATACACCTTAAGATAGGATGGTGCGCATGTTGGGCGGGGCTTAAATACGTCACTTGTTAAGTATTTTTAAATCTTTAATTGTCTGCTGCTAAAATTTGCATTTATTAAAATGCGGTGTGGCATATTTGCATGCAACTCGGACAACCAGTCCAAGAAAAATCCTTTAAAATAAAAAAGAAGAAGTGATAATTTTGAACCGCTTAAATAAAATATTGGACGCGATCCAAAAAAGGAACCTAGCGTTCATAAAATAATTTTTAAGATTATCATTATTTTAAGTATAGGGGTAAACGTTCTTTCGAAAGGTCCAGATGGAATTTACATGGATATTTATTTTTGAAGTCGCGTCGCTATGTGAGAATCGTCCTCGAAGGCCGATTCTCACATAACGACGCGACGCGATGTTTCAAAATCGCGCCTCAATTCTCACATAGCTGCGCAACGCGACACGCCGCAATGCAAACTACAGTACGATTAGTTCGGTTTAGTTCATCGTCTTCAAGTGAAGAAGAAGATATATAAGTTGTGACATTATTGTATGAACACGAAAAAAAGAAAAGAAAGAGGCGCTATTGAGTCCATAATATCTCTAAATATCTTCATTTATCGGCTCTATTTATTACGCATTTTTAACAGTTTATCGAACATTTGCTAATAATAATAATTATTAAATAAGCATACCTACCGGTCAATTAAAATTACTAAGTGTAGCAAAACTTGTCGCTCGTAAATTCACACATGCCTACTTTTTAGCGCGCATGCCGCAATTTTGTCGCTCCAGGACAAAATTTTGTCGCGTCGCGTTGCTGGCGCGTCGCTATGTGGGAATTGTCTCATTTAAATGCATGGAAATCTTTTATCGGCTACATTTTAAAGTGTCGCCTCGCGTCGGTATGTGAGGCCGATTCAGCCTCGACGCTCAAGGAGCATTGCTACACAAGGACCTATGCCGCGCGAACATCAATCACCTCTCCTGTAAAATTGAGCTAAGTAAGATATTTTTTGCTAAGAGGATTTGAAAAAAAAATATTTCACCCCCAAAAGGGGGCGGTAGAGGGCATCCAATTAAAAACAAAAAAATGGTAATTATTAGAATTAAAAATAAAAAAGTAAATAGTGAAAATAGTTAATTACCAAATTTTTAAGAATATATTTACCATACCAACTAACATTTTAAATACCTACCGCTGGAAAATTAATATAAAAGAATTGATTTCCAAAAACTTTTAAATTTGTACCTACATCAATATTATTACCATTGTATTGGTTATTATCGTAATTTTTTGAACATTAATATTTATTATTCATGATTCACCGCCGCGCAGTTTATTTTGTTTTTATTATTCTGTACTTATAACTTATTGGTAAAAATCGTATTTAAATAATGATATGATTTAAATATGTATAAATATTAATTCTTAGCCTACTGATATTTGTTGTTTTTTTAGGGAAACTCTTGTCCAAAAATAGTTTATTTAAATAAGCAAAAATTACCATACGCTTTTGTATTAAAACGGCAGCGGGTCTGATTAGCAATTATAATTTTCATACACCTACAATTGTATTGTCACTCTTTCCAATTACCTACTCGATACACCTAAGTGGTAGAAAAGCTTACTATTAAATAGACAGCGGTACTATATTATATTGTTGGCATATTAAACTGATTAGTCAAACTATAATAATGACGTAAGTTACGCCAAAATTACAATAAACTTGCTTTAATTGGCTAAAAGTGCGGCATAAAAATTAACCTTAAATTTAATCAATTTTACATGTATTTTTCAGAGCTCTCTCCACAATTCATACAAAAACTCAACCAAAAGTAGCCGCTATGACTGTGGTTTCAAAAGAAGAGAGTCGTGAATTTATGGCTCTGTTTCCTGACATTGTCCGGGATCTAACTGATGCTGGTAGGCACACTGATATTCCTGAAGTGACTAAAAGATTTGCGAAACTTTTGCAATACAATGTGCCCAACGGCAAGAAAAACAGGGGATTATCTGTTGTTGCATCGTATAAAACTTTGGAAAAACCCGAAAATCTCACCCCTGAAAGTATAAGACTGGCCAATATTTTGGGATGGTGTGTTGAAATGGTAAGAATCTTGAATTTATAAAGTATGCATTTTTAACTAGTTTATGTTTCCCATACTTTTTTTCGCGATCATTTTTATTTTGTAAGATTTGTATAAATCGGCAGGAAAGCATTATTTTTTTGGGATAAAACCTAAAAGTACATCCTGAAGATTTGTTTTTTTTTAATCCTTTTATTTTGACAGTATTTTCAGCACAAAAAACTATTAATTTTTAAAAATGTCGAAAATTCAGTTGTATATTTTATATACCTAACGGAATATAATTATATAAATATTACAAATTTTTAAAATTTGATTACCCCACGTTTAAACAATAATAAAAACGTAATCTTAAAAGAAATGCTTATTTTAATTATAATACCTATGGTGGGAATGTTGATTGGGATACCAAAGACAAAAATCCGCAGTGATTTTTTTGTATTAGAGTTAGTATTACATTTTAAAGAATAAAGATGTTAGATTCTGTAAAAAAATAAAACGCATACCTCTGAAAAATAACACGTACGGCACTGATTTTTAGGGATTTTTAATTAACTTCAGTATATGTCAGTGGCGTAACAGCAAGGCAAATAATTTCTCAAAAGTGCAAACAAATTATAGTGAAACAACTACCCTACGGTCAATAATGAGTTAAGAGTAAAGTAATAAGAAATAGTTAAGTGACAAGTGAGTTTCTGGGCGGTCGTACCACCCCTCACTAGACAAACAAAAGAGGACAAACAAGAAAGAAAAAGGCTATCCGCAAAAATTGATTTGTATCCTCAAGCATATGCATGACCCTACACATAATTTGCAAAATTAAACACGACAGATACCTTAAAACCCTAAGAAAGACACACTGCTTAAACTCTAAAAAAACAATAAACATCAGTAACAATAGAAACATTAGAAAGACAATACTAACCAAACACCATAAAATAATAAAGAAAATAGACAAACAACAAAAAAATAAAACTTCCCATTCGTTCCTATCGCGGTGATACACCAAAGCTGAGTAGGACAATAAATCTGTCAAATGCGTAAGGCATGAAACCCAGTAACTTAAAGAACGGCCCCAACAAAACAACGTAAACTTTAACCCAAACGTTATATATAAATAAATAAACATTTGACACTTAAAACATAAACTAACACTCAATAAATCATGAAAACCCAAACATAGTAAAAACAGCATACCTACTAATCAAACTCTATTGGATTTGTAAACACATTAGATTATAACAGAATAATTGCGCTTGTCATTTGTTTAACTAATAAATAAATGCAATACTTAATTTTGGAAATTAAGAAAACAATATCTAAAAAAAATTTAGAAATTTCGCACTACTGCGGCAATAAACAATTTAAAAAAACATTAAAGCTACAAGTTACATATCCAACTACTGAACTATCTATTGATGGTTTTCGACCTCAAGACCGAACAGGAACAATCCTACTTGGACAGGGACACGAACAACGACAAAAACGTAGACCAAGACTTAGGCTCCTGCAGCAAAATAACAACTCCAATTTATTATTTACCATAGTTTATCGATAAATTTTATTTATATTTAAAAAGAAATATTAAAAATTTAAAATGGTATAAAATCTGTATAATTTGGATTTTTAAATGAAATTTGAAGTTTGTCGATAAACTATGGTAAATAATAAATTGCACCAATTAAATTTAAATTATATTTATTGGGGGCGCCATGGGGCCGGTACGGCAGAGCAAAAAGTTTTCTTTTTTTCGCAAACTTCAATTTAAATTCTGCTTGCGCAGAACTTGTTTATTTAATGTCATTATAAACTCATATAAATTTGGTGTGGGTCCCATATCTAATAATTGAGATATCGGTATACCCAAAATCCACCAGCCGCCACTGGTATATGTGCTGTTGAATGTAAAGGGCTAATGTTTGTTAGATATAAAGTTTACATATTATAGATGATCAATGATGAAATACAGTTGTTCCATTCAGTCCATGTTTATAACAAAATGATTTGCTTTAAATTTTAAAAATTTATACACTTCGCGTCATATTTAACGCACCACTAAAAATTTGCCACAATTTTAAAGTTGATTTTCTCGCAAACCGTCAAACCGAATTCATCTATAATATGTAAACTTTATTTCTAAGAAACATTAGCCCTTTACATTCAACAGCACATATACCAGTGGCGGCTGGTGGATTTTGGGTATACCGATATCTCAATTATTAGATATGGGACCCACACCAAATTTATATGAGTTTATAATGACATTAAATAAATAAAGGTCGAAACAGCTGTCTGTCGGTATTTGAAGTTGGTGGTACGCATTCAAAACAAAAAACTTTGGCGAGGTGTAGGTTCAATTTTTTCTTATATTCTTATGAATATTACCAGTGATGGGTCAAGAAAGTTTCTTAAAGAAACTAAGAAAATTGAATGTTTACATTAAATAAACGCAAGCAGAATTTAAATTGAAGTTATACACACAATTAAATATTACACCATTCTGAAATCATCAAATTATAAAGAAATTTGGTACAATATAATTATCAGTACCTACTACTACAACCAGCGTTGCCAATTTTCCAGTAATTACTGGCATTTGCCAGGAATAAAGCTCCTTGCCAGTGATTTTGCCAGGAGAGTTCAAATGCCAGGAATTTGCCAGGAATTGGTTAGTTAAAATAGAATAATTACTAAATTACTAAAATCATCTTGCTTAAAATAAACGATCTGCGAAAAAAAGATAAAATATATATTATAATATATATTATTTAAAATTATACTTTAGGCTTGGATTTGAACGTTGGGACAGGAGATAAACATTATATAATACTTGCCTGCTAGATTGTTTTGTATGTACACCCAAAAGTTCAACATTGACATTTGAATACAAATAATTGAGGATATCTATCCGTCGCCTATTTCGTTTATTTTTTGAATATAATACAATATACAGTGTCCAAGAAGTCGCGCACCACCTTGAAGGTAAATGATCCCCCAGAAATCCCAAAAAATTGTTAAAAAAATCTACCTTCATTATTTAAAATTACGAGAGCGTAAACATTGAGTTTTTAAACTTAAAAATAATTGGTATATCTATTCGTAATATATACTTTGGGTCTTATCTGCTGGACTGCTGTTGCTGCTCTGCTACGAGTTAGACTCCACGTCATAGCATTTCTGTTAAATATTGTATGTATTTTTTTAGTGAGTAATGCACGCTCAGTATGTATGTTGTGGTTGGACAATACTTAAAAAATGCAAGACATTTAGCCTGTGTGTGTAATGTTAAAATTTGTTTAGTTTTTCTTTATAAATTTAAGGTTTTAATATTTCCTGACATTTGCTTCTATCAAATCTGACGTAAAATAATTAACCTCAAAGCAATAACAATAGCCTCTTAGTCCATTTACTTCGATCGGAGATTTTCTCTCTTCCAAAGTTACGAACGGTCAATTTGGGGGGCAATTTTTGAGAGTGTGCACAGTGTGCACTGCACACATAGACTTTCTTTATATGTTACATCTCTAAACTTATTTATAATAATATTGTTAGGGACCTTTCATCAAAATCACTATATTTCTTCGTAGGTCTCTCGGACATCAGTAGTATATGTAGTCCAAATTCTTACACATCAACGAAGCCATGTGACTAAAGAACTTACCCCCAATCAAATGTATAAGACTCATTTTGGAATAACGGTGCAGTTATATAAGGCGCGTTTTGGAACGACTCTTAAACATAAAGCCTCTTTTACATGTAATAAGAATAAGTTTGAAAAGACAATTCTTTTTCAAGTCGACAAGGGCTTTGAAAGCTGTCTATACCCACCATTAACTCGGAGATTATGAAAAGTAGATAAAACGCATTTTGAAATGACCCTACTGAAATAATAGTGACAAATTTGATACTTTTTTAATAGGCAATGTTGCTATAAAAAAATATGTATCACCTGTATCTTTTTAAAAAAATTCCTGGGATTTTTTGGGGTCCGTAGATCACACACCTTTAAGGTGGTGCGCGGCTTCTGGTTATTAGCGTTAAACAGATACATAACCTTAATTATTTTTATTTAAATATCAAAGCGGGACTTTGGGTGTGGAACATAGTACATACGGGTAACAGGTCCGGTGCTATTAAAAAATAAGAAATACCCTATGCGGCTTATAGAAAATGTAACAAAACTTTTCTGTACAATTATTATACAGCTATTATAGCTGTAATTATGAGTATGAGTATGGGAACGTATGGCAGGCCCCAAAGACATTAACCGCCACTAATCTCCAGGGTTATTTTAACCCCTTTCCGTTCTCCTGCGTATCCCGCCAAATCACAGCTTTACCTGTGTTTGTTGGATCCGAAGTTTTTACGCCGGCTGGTAGATCCACCCTAGGAGGTCGTGGAAGACAGTGTCTATGGTTAAGGCCGCTCCACGGATTTTTGTCAGCCGGGTCGGGCCATACGTCCAGTTTGGGAAGGGTTTTTGGAGGACATTGAACTGACCCAAAACTAAGTACAATCCGGAATCCTCCTCAACCTGGGACTTAGTAATAACCCCATTCATTTGGGATTCATGAATGGGGGTAGACGTGTTGGTACGCTGCTAGAACCTGTCCTTGTGGGTGTGTTTCTGAACATCTCTGTCCGAGTCAGTATCAGGTTCCTGGTAACTTCTTTCGAATTGTTTGCCCCCCTGTGTGATACTGAGTCTTGTCTTCCGTACCGAAGTCCCCGGTAGCACACCGACGTCCGCCGACGTTTATATGACGTCTTCTGACGTCATTTCACCGTCATTTAAACGCCAGCAGACGTCAGTGCGCCACCTGGGGTGTTGACGGCCATGACACACCGTAAGTGCCCTCTGCCTTGGTGGATATTCCTCCTGCCGAGTGCCGGCTACCAACCTTGTATATTCTTTATTTATTTTATTGCTAAATTAGTGTTTATACCGTTTTCATTTAATTTATATCTTTGCATTCTTACTTTTTTTTCCAAATTTAATTTAAAAATATAAATATTAATAT